GCCCGGTGTCTGAGGTCAGGGTTTGATGAACATTTACTCTTCCGGCGTTTACACAATCACCGGGTTTAAAAGTGATGGCTGTAAATTTTACAAAATGTGGGTGTCAGGGGCCTGAGGCTGGAGGAGGAGATGAGGGAGGAGATGAAGGAGGAGATGAGGGAGGTGAAGACTTCCTGAGTTTCACCTGTGTCAGAGCAGGAAGGTCACGGACCTGAAGAATCAATCATTTATGAAAAAGGACTGAAACTAAAAGATTAAACAAAGGTGGAGTTTTTTTAAACATCTTCTTCTCTCCTTCCTTCCTTCCTTCCTCCCTTCCTTTCTTCCTTCCTACCTTTCATCTTTCCTTACAGAAGGGGAAATGGAGTCTCCTGTTAACCTTGTGACCTCAGAGGTCACACATTACTCCTTCCGTGCCTCCTGGACGCCACCTGGTGGAACAGTGGACAAGTACCGTGTCACATATGCAGCTGTGAAAGGAGGACCAACAATGGAGGTGAAAGGACCAAGTTTGACCCCCGACCCCCGACTTTACCCCTTATTGAACAGTGTCTGCGGTTTAACAACGTCGTTAGCATTGTTAGCATCATTAGCATCGTTAACCATCATGATCATTTTACCCAGCAGTGGTAAGTAAAGTGTGTGAGTGTTTTCTTCAGAACGTCCTCAAAGGAGGATCAGGTTGAAATTCCGATCTTTTCCTTTGGGAAAACAGTGAACATGTGTTACCTGCAGGAACCGATGCCTGCACGTGGTTTTAATAGAGTCCAGAAGACGTCCTTTTGATTGAGCCAGTCAAACGTGTCCCAGCTTTAATCAGTTCCAGGCTCCAACTCTGGGGTTTGTTTGCTCTGATTTCCCAGTAGGAATTCTGACACCGTTCAATTTCCAAGTCCAACGGCCGCGAGGAGAAGAAGGTTTTTTTTTCTTCTATTTTCTGAGACCTGGATCATCGTCAGTCCTCAGAACCACAGACAGAGACTAAAAAACACAAAGGTGTTTGAGGGTTAGCTGTACGTGCAGCTAAAGACTTTAGCCCAGAAAGACGTGTTGCTAAGAGCTAGCCAAAAATGTAATCTACATCGTATGCAAGAAATTTGAAGGAACATTGTCAAAGAAGGACTGTTCTGACTGACCCCTGACCCCTGACCCCTGACCTACTTTTGTGACACAACATGACGTAGGAAGACCGGCAGAACCTCTTTTGTCTAAAACCTGTTTCTGAAAACCATCTGATGTCGACAGCTGACGGTGGACGGAGCAGAGACCACCACCGTCCTGCCGAACCTGACCCCACTCACGGAGTACGTGGTCAGCGTCTACGCCGTGGTGGGCGAGGAGAGCAGCGAACCTCTGAAGGGCACCGAGACCACCTGTGAGTCCACGTCCTCCTCAGCCCAGCTAACCTTTAGCTAACGTCCAGCTAACGTGTCCAACCTCTTTGACAAACAGTACGTTCAGTCAGGGACCACCACCTGAGACTCAAGTTCTCCCTCTGTCTCTGGTTCTCCTCAGTGCCCCTGGCTGCAGTGAGGAGCATGGACGTCTACGACGAGGCCGTGACCACCATGAGGGTCAGGTGGCCTCCGGTGACCGGAGCTCAAGGCTACATGTTGGTCTACAGATCGGTCAACGCCTCGGAGCCGCAGCAGGAGAAAGAAGTAAAGATAAAAGTTAAAAGAGATCAAAGAGATCTCCAGCCTTTCGTGAGCCTCGATCACACCGATCACTTTTCCTCCTGTAGCTGCGAGTCGCAGGAGACCAATCGGACGTCCAGCTGACGCAGCTGATTCCTAACACGGAGTACAAGCTCCGCCTCTTCGCTCTGTACGGTGAATCCATCAGTGACGCCCTGGAAGGAGGAGGAGTCACCCGTGAGTCGGCGCTGCTAATCTTTCTCCACTGAACAAAGGTTAGCGTCAGCCTTTAACCCCCCCCTCTCCTACCCCAGGGCCACTGCCTCCTGCTGGTGTCCTCAGAATCACCGACGTGACCCACAGCACCATGAGGCTGAACTGGGACGCCGCACCTGGAGCCGTGCGCTCGTACAAGGTCACCTACCAACCAGACGAGGGCGACCTCCAGGAGGTACGGCTGCTGTTTCTAACTTTAAACCTGTGTGAGTTTAGCTAACTGTTAGCCTGTTAGCTCATTTACAACCCACTGCATTTAGAACCAATTCCACTGTTTCAACTACGTTTTGGAACATTGGAGCTAGTTCCAGGCTAACTCTGAGATATGTTACGGTGAAATCTGGGCTAGTGTTTTGTTCAGGCTAGCACTTAGCGAACATTTGGCTAACATATTTTAGCAAACCTTAGAGTTGTTTGGGTTTGAGTCCCTGTGTTCCGTGTGTGGTACCGATGGTCAGACGTTTACCTGTTCTACAGATTGAAGTGGACGGTGACATCACCTCCTTGGATCTTTCCAGCCTCATCTCCCAGACGGAGTACGATGTGGCCGTGACCCCGATCTACGACGACGGACCAGGGTCGCCGATGGTGGGCTCAGCGATCACAGGTCTGAGACTGAGAACTGGTTCTTGGATCAAACACTGCATGGATTCACATCAACAGTTCTGTCACTGTTCTGAGTTTCTGGGTTTTCTGGGTCTGGTATCGGTTCTGTGGTGGTAACGGTTCTAGTTCTGGCATTGTTGACCTGCCATCAGGACTGAGTCACTGGATCCACATGTTCTCCAAAGAACTGGACCAATACTGATATCTGTACACACACACACACACACACACACACACACCAACCAACCTGTGATGTTTGTGTGAACAGATGTGGTTCCTGCTCCAAAGAACCTTCAGTTCTCTGAAGTGACCCAGAGTTCCTTCAGAGCCAGCTGGCAGCACGGAGCACCCGACGTCGCCCTCTACCGCATCGGCTGGGTCAAAAAGGGAGGCACCGACGCCCAGTCTGTGAGTGAGACCGCAGGATTTTAGCTGACAGGCACACTGCTGCCCCCTGTGGCCAGTCTGTCTCACTGACGTACATCACCGATTCCCTCTAGGAGGTAGAATGTAGTGGAACCAGCTGTAAGGCTGTTCTGAAGTCCACTGTGTTGGAACATGGTACCGGACAGGTTTGGACCTGACAGGCACCACGGCGGACTCAATCAGGTCCCCGGGCCGCTGCTTGGGTGTTTTTGTTTTTGTATAAAAACCATCTGGTCTTAATGCTGCTTTTTAAGGCAGTTGAAGTGGAGCCTGAAGATTCATTGACAAACATGTCAGAGTCTGTTAGTGAAAGGAGTCCATAAATCTAAATAGATGTGGCGGTGGTTCCAGCCCACACTCTCTCTGAGTCCACGCCACTTCTCCAAGACTGAGCACAGACAGACGACCAGGCTCTGACTCTGGGTCTCAGCCAACATCCAACCAGAATGAAGCCCAGACATGTGGACCAGAAGGTTCTGAGGTTAAAACAGAAACAGCTCGATCCAGGTTTTACAGAAGGCTTAGCTAAATGTTAGCTCAGAATGGCTAATGGAAGTGTTTCGGTTTCTTTGAGGTCACTTACTGTCAGCTAACAAAAAAAAAAAACAACCACTGGACTAGAAATCGCACAGCTTCCAACAGAAGCCGAGGGTTAGCTAGTCATCAGTAAAAGTTAGCCTTAAATATGTTGATTGAATCTCTGTTTTCCTGCCTGCGCCCATCAGGCCATCCTGGCCAGCGATCAAACCTCCTACGTCCTGGAAAACCTGGACCCAGACACGGACTACGACGTCACTGTCACCGCCATCTACCCAGACGAGTCCGAGAGCGAGGATCTGATGGGAAGAGAACGAACGCGTAAGTCTGCCGCTGCCGCTGGTCACGTGGCAGGCCCCGCCCATTGAAGAAACAACCAATCAGAGCAGAGTTTTCTGTTGTGTGCCTTGACGTTGTTTTCTCGCTGTCTCTTCTAGTGTTAAAGGCTCCAGACGGTACGTGGCCGTCACAGGGACACGTTCCTTCTGTTTTCAGTGTGTGTTGAAGGGTAATGTGGACGCTGGAGGACGGCGTTCACACACGTTCTCTGTCTCCGCTGCATGGCTGTGTGTGTGTGTGTGTGTGTGTGTTCGACGCCTGGCTGTGGGTTCACACCACACGATCTCCAGGTTTTTAAATAGTTTAACTGCTGATAAAGTCCCGGTCAAGTGTTAGCACGCTAACATCGACATACAGTCGAGAGTTGAAGCAACAGTGACACCCTGTGGTTTTATGTTTGACTTCCAGACACTTTTCTACATCAAGACTGTTGGACAGAGTAGGTTCTGTCCTTCAGCTGATGTTGAGATGTTGGAGATTCTGTGGCAGAATGAGCTTCAGTTCGAGGCTAACGTGAAGACCAGAGTCAATCTCTGCTGCGTGATTGGACCGTGGTCTAAAGGTTGGAGTGGAAGCTTCTGGAAACTCGTACAACCTTTGGTTTGTTTGCTTCACAGTCAAACAGAACTGTATCTGGTTTTTAAATAAATGAAGACGATCTCCTGTAAACCACCGGGGTCACAGTCAGCTGACCCTCGATTACCTTCCAACGCTTCTGGGAATCGGTAACGTGGAAAAGAAATCCTAATATGGTCTGGTGCTTCTAGAAACAGCCACTTGTTGTTCAGCAGCTGGTCTGAGAGGAGGGAGGAGGGAGGTTGTGGTGTGAACGTGGATCCACGGCTACGACATCAAAAGAAGGAGTCCTTCATCATCATCATCATCCTCATCATCATCATCATCATCATCATCATCATCCTTCATCACTCTTACTCTGACTCTGACTCTGACTCTGACTCTGCCTCTGCCTCTGACTCTGACTCTGACTCTGCCTCTGACTCTGTCTCTGACTCTGACTCTGACTCTGACTCCTGACTGGGTTTCTTTCGTCTCTGATGACTCAGTCATCAGTTGTAACGACTCTTCACACTCCTGACAGTGACTCCTCGTTTGTTTTGTTTTTCCGTCTCCATTTGTCCCTGTCCTCACGTGGTCCTCACGTGGTCCTCACGTGGTCCTCACGTGGTCGTCCCCGGCGTCACTGCTGATGTTGACAGTCATGTCGCTGCATGTTGCGTTCACAGTGTTTCACTCTGAGACTCCAAGGTCAGTCAACGTCAACACGCTGCTGCATCACCTGTGAGTGCTTTAGTGCCACCTGGTGGTCACGTGCAGCTGTAGTGACTTGACCTGACTGACCTCCAGTCCAGCTTCTGCTGCTGCTGTTTTTGACCCATCATCATCAGCTCCATGAGTCTTTTTAGAATATGGGATCGTCGTCATCTTCATCATCTTCATCGTCATCTTCATCGTCATCTTCATCATCGTCATCGTCATCGTCCTCTCCGTCTCCACTGATCTGCTCGACGACTCCTTCCCTTCTGCTTCTCATTGGATGTGTTTCTGCTTGTTCAACAGTGGTTCCGGAACCTCCTCGGAACCTCCGGGTGTCCAACGCCACCACCACCACGCTCACAGCCAAGTGGGACGCTGCCCCTGGCCCCGTCCAGAACTACAGGGTCACCTACAGACCAGTGGCCGGAGGTGAACCCATGGTGGTGAGTCCCTTCTCCAGTCCTTCAAATATTAGCCTCAAACTATAAAGAAAGGAACAAAGTTGATGTCGTTTAAAGTGTGGCCAAATAAATGATCACATGTGACATGTCGGGCGGCGGCGGCGGAGGCGGCGCTGCTCACGGCGCTGCAGTGATTGTATCGTTGATAACCAGCTCAGAGAACTTGGTATTCAGCCGTTCTCCAGCTGCTCCGTCTCATGGACGATCACCAACACAGACAGAAGAAGAAGAAAAGAAGAAGAAGAAGAAAAGTGGGTCACGGAGCGCCGGTGTCTTTGGTCACATGACTGTTGCAGTTTGTTCAGACTGGTTAGATCTGGTCTGATCTGCTGCTGGAGAAGACAACGTCACAGAACTGTTGGTTCCACCTTCAAAGATTGAAGTCCAAACTACAAGACAACAGAAAGGTTCATCAGTCAGTCTGAAGCGATGGTCGGGAGTTCAATTCCCAGTGACATCAGTGATGATCTCACTGCGAGGAGGAGGAGAAGAAGAAGAAGAAGAAGAAATGAAATCCCACACATGGAGTGTTTTCTCCGTGGTGTTTTCCTCCAGATTCCTCCACACTGATGTCAGCCTCCACTCATCTCCAGCACCACCGTCTACAGCCCACTGACCGCCGTGTTTACACATTCCTGTCCATCCTGGGACCATGTTTGTTCAGGATCTTGACAAACTCTCCACTCCACTCTGTCCTGCGTTCAGTAAATCACCCCCCCCCCCTCGTCTCCCCCCCCCGTTGTTACCTGGCAGCTCCTCACACGTCAGAGCGGCTCCAGAGAACTTCACTTCAGATCCTGCTGCTGGGCTGTGAACAAACATGGAAGAAAAACCTTTGTCTCCTCGACTGTCCATCAGGGGGCGACTCATTAGTTAGGACAGAGAGCAGTGGGTGGAGCAGGAGGTGTGGGTGGAGGAGGAGGTGTAGGTGGAGCAGGAGGTGTGGGTGGAGGAGGAGGTGTGGGTGGAGGAGGAGGTGTAGGTGGAGCAGGAGGTGTGGGTGGAGGAGGAGGTGTGGGTGGAGGAGGAGGTGTGGGTGGAGGAGGAGGTGTAGGTGGAGCAGGAGGTGTGGGTGGAGGAGCGAGCAGCATTTTGTTTCTCTGACTCTTCTCTCCTCCTGTGAACAGACTCAGGTCGGAGGAAAGAAGACCAGCCTGATTCTGCAGAAGCTGCAGCCGGACACGCCCTACACCGTCAGCGTGGCCGCCGTGTACTCTAGCGCCATCAGCAGGGACATCTCAGCAGATGGAAAAACCAGTAAGAGTGTGAACAGGGGATTTAACCGACAACCTACAAAGACAGGCCCAAAGGAATAGAATAGAACAGTCTTTGTTGTCATCACACGTACGACCTCCAAGAACCTCGTTAGTGTGTCTACACCTCGTTCCTTTTTGAACTGTTTCTGCTTGTTTTCCTCTCAGAGCCTCTAGGTGGCGTCAGGAACCTGCAGGTGTTGAACCCAACCATGTCGACGCTGAACGTTCGCTGGGAACCTGCGGAGGGGCGGGTCAAGGAGTACAAGGTCCTGTACGTCCCTGCTGCTGGAGGAGACCAGCTGATGGTAGGTAGAAACATGTCCACTTCCTGTCCAAACAGGAAGTTACTCACGTGCGACTCCACCAAACGACGTTAGAGTGAGTCCCACAGGAAGTGACAAAGTGACCAGCGATTGGACAAAATCAATCAGGAAACACTGAACGTTCACGATGAAAACTTTTTTGTTGTGTTTTTTTAACTCCATAGGAAAAAGTTTCAGGAAGTTCAACAACCACGGTGCTGCGAGGCCTGACCCCGGACACGCTCTACAGTGTGACCCTGGTGCCGGTCTACGCCGACGGAGACGGACTGGCCATGTCTGAAAACGGAAAGACCAGTAAGAAACGCATCTTAGCTTGATGCTAACACAACGCCAACACAACTTAGCTGGTGTTTTTTCACACTCTAATTGCGGAGAGTGCTAGTAGCTAGCTTAGCTTTACTGTTAGATATTTTTGCGTCCAACTCTTTAGTTACCTTTTAGCTAGAACTGCGTTTATTAGCCACGTTTTCCTCCTGTTAGCCTTTTTATTTTTCCTAACTAATATGCTCTAATTTTTAGCTAAAGCAGATTCATTTTGTAATCATCGACTAAAGATGGTGTTGTGTTTGTCAAACCTTTAGCTCGTCTTTATTTATTGAAGTTTAAAGTTAAAGGTAAATTTGTCGTCTATGGATTGGTTGGTAATTTAGCTGTTTTAATTTGGAGGGTAACTACTTCCTGGCTTATTTTGTATTTCCTCTCAGTGCCTCTAGGTGGAGTGAAGAACCTGCAGGTGTTGAACCCAACCATGACCACGCTGAACGTACGCTGGGAACCTGCGGAGGGGCGGGTCAAGGAGTACAAGGTCCTGTACGTCCCTGCTGCTGGAGGAGACCAGAGCCTGGTAGGAAAATACAAACAGGAAGTGAGGAGGTTCACAGATCGTCCCTCTGATGTGATGTGCTCCTCCTTCCACCACAGACCTCAGAGAAAATCAGTGGTTTCAGCCACTGGCCACAAGGGGCAGTAGTGCAGCAGTTGCTCCTGTGTCCCTTTGAGCTGAAATCACTGATGTTCTGGTGGTGGGTCTTTGACTCGTCACTGAACAACTGGTTTTCTGCCTGGTTTGTTGCTGTGAACAGGAAACAGTGTCAGCAGGTACAACAACCACGGTGCTGCGAGGCCTGACCCCGGACACGCTCTACAGTGTGACCCTGGTGCCGGTCTACGCCGACGGAGACGGACTGGCCATGTCTGAAAACGGAAAGACCAGTAAGAACTTTTCTTGACCTTTTGTCTTTGGTGTCGTTCTGTCCACGAGCCTCGACAAACAGACCATCAAAAAAAAAATCAGAACAAATAAATATTTGTTTGTTTGTTAATCGCTAACTCACTCTCTGCCTCAGGACAACTAGGGGGCGTAAAGAACCTTCAGGTGACTGACCCCACCATGACCTCTTTGAAGGTGAACTGGGATCCAGCTGACGGAGCCGTTCGTCTCTACAAAGTCTTTTACGTCCCTGTCGCCGGAGGTCGAGAAGAAATGGTTTGACCTTTTGACCTTTTAAGGTTTTACGTTACAACTAAAAATAAAAGATTCAAAAAGTGAAACAGTTTTTAAAAAAAAAAACTCTTTCCTTCAGGAGCAAGTTCCAGCAGGAACCACCTCCATCGTTCTGAGGAACCTAATGCCCGACACGCCCTACACCGCGTCAGTGCTGCCCGTCTACCCCGCGAGGGAGGGCAAACGTCAGTCGGAGAACGGGAAGACACGTGAGTCAGCGCCGAGGTCCGAACTTCTCTGCCACCACGTTTGTAGGAGCAGGTTTGACCTGAAGGACGTCTGCTCTCTTCTTCTCAGTTCCTCTGGGTGGAGTCGGGGGCATGAGGGTCAGCAACCCCACCATCACCACCCTGACCGTCACCTGGGACCCGGCCGCAGGAAACGTCCAGGGTTACAAGGTCGTC